AAAGCGGTGATACTTTCGGACTCACAGTCAGCAATAGACTCTATTGGAAACAGAGTGACACCCAAAACAGCTGAGATAAAGGAATGTAGAAAACTCTATGAGCTGCTGAGAGAGAAAAACAAAACAGTGGTCCTACAATGGATTCCTGGTCACTGTGGCATTAAAGGCAATGAGATTGCTGACACACTTGCTAAGAAGGGGACAACAATTTTGCAATGCATGGACCGGCCCATGTCTTTCCACACAATGAAGGCCTTAATCAGGAGAGAATTCCAGACCTCAAGGTACAACGAACTCAAAGCTCGAACAAAGGAGAAACAGTGGACAGTGGTGCTCTCCGACATAGCCGACTGGCCAAGAATCGAAGCCGTTGCTGAGTTTAGACTACGTACCGGCCACGATTGCTTGGCAAAACACCTTCACAGATTGGGAGTATACACTCAACCCACATGCCCCCTATGTAACCTACATGAGGAAATGGAGAAGACCCACCTGATTCGGTGTCCAGCTCTAAAGACAAGGACGGAAAGCCAAAGATACTGGGAAGCAAGAAGACAGCTAATGAACTGCTATTAATTAACTGCTATAAATGTACCCCCCCCCCTCTTGGGGGAAGCTGAAGTCAAAGATTAAGGGCTAATGATAAATATCATAAAGCCTGCCATTTGAAAAAAAAACGATCCACAAAAATTTCTACCATTGTTCTTGAGAGCTGAAGAAAGCCACGCCATAACTCAACAAGCCCGCCCATTTATACATCGCTGTTCCATCCATCAATTTATCTTAAACGTGATAATGTGTTTAGTTAAACATAATTGTCATTAATACACTCAAACGCTTTATCGATCGATTGCGGTACATTCTGGCTTTGGTAACATTCGCGTGCCCAAGTCGATAGCTCAGCCAATAAATTAATAAAACGAAACATTCGTGTCTTGAGTTTGATGTGCAAATTTCATTAATTAAACATAATTGAGGGAGAGAGAAAGAGAGGCAGGGTAAAAGAGAGGACAAGCGTGGTACAGACTCACAAAATTACACTTTAGCAAAGGGAAAAGATAATATAGAGCGATTAAATATAACTCAGTAAGGGAATCAAAGTGCTCACACATACACAGAAAGAGAACGCAGGGGGACTCAGTCGACCTTCAAATACTCACAACTTTTTCACATAAACTACTGAAATATTAATTGATGCTGCCGTTTCACATTTCAGGGAAGAGGAGGGAGATAAAATCATCACGTTTTGAAAGAGGAGAGGAGGAGGGAGTAAATTAGATGGAGCAGAAAGACAAACAAATCAGAGGCCAGCTCGCATACACAAACAGACATAGGCAAATGTAGATATGTACAGAAAGACTGCATTTTTACTTCTAACTTTGTTGTCTATGTACACAGAGAAAAAAGGCAAATAGAGGAGGGAGAATAAGACAATTGGACGGACGACAAATGGATGAATGGGAAGGCGGATAAATGAACGTTTGAATAAGAATAGAACGTCGTGGCGCAAACTACACGCGAAGATTGGCTGCTGAGCTAGAGGCTGCGCCAACGCTGCTGCCTTCAACAGAAGCAACATCTGAAAAAGTAGCTGTAGAGGCTGCTGTAGTGAGATTTCCAAGGGGCTCATGGGTACTTGAAGTGCTGGGCGTACGATTGAGGTCTCCAGAGCCCACCATGAGGGGTGGATTGATTATGCGGTTACGAAGACGGATCTCCCGTTGCACAGCCATATTTATTTGGTGATTGTCTAGATTCATGTTCTTGCTGTCCCTACCAAGGCGAAGATAAGGCTATTTTAACGGTAGGCAAGGTAATCACACATGTTGTATTGAAAGTACACTAATAGGCGCAAAAGACAGGAAATATTCAAACTCAAATTTTCCAGTTTCTCACTTCAAAAATAAACAAAAAAGTAAAATATGTTCGGGTTACACGCTACTTTCAAATACTGCGAGCTGTTGTAAGTCTAGAAGTATCTTTTCACTGCCATTGTAAGAGGGAGAAATTGATGATAATGCCAGCTCCAGCTTTAGAGACAACCTCCGATATTCAAGACTGAAGAAGTCACAACTTCACAACTCCATTCATCTAAGTAAAGAAGTACTTGCATTGTGATATGAAAAAAGCTACTGGTAGTATAAACGCATATTGCCGTAGGTAAGATGATACGAGCTACTAATATCATCTTAAATATCCAGTACGATTAAGATAGCTTGGAATAAGGGGAGGTAGACTTGACCATTCACGAAAACTTTCCTACATTGCCACCATACTAAGCAAATATATGCGTATGTAGGAATCAGATGTAAGAGATCAGTGTTCCCACTAAAAGAAGTTAGATCAATAACATCAATGTTTTAAAGGGAAATTTTAGTAAAAAAGAAATATCAAGTATTTCGGACACATCAAGATCGACTTATAAAATGAATCGAATTTAGGTGTACTGGAAAGCATTCGTTTAACAATAACAAAACCATAGAATGGATTAATGAAGTGGCATGCTAGAGTATTATTCATAATTAATTAAATTAAAAATGACAGGAATAACTTAATCATTTCACCACCAGGAGAAAATGGATAAGAAAATGAATTCGTGTCCTGAAGAAAAGTGCATTCAGTCAGGAGAATAGAGGCAAAAAATGAATATCAGTAAAATTAGATATAATAACTCGTTCGCACGGAGGATTAATGAAGAAATCAAATCCATAAGAGTGTGAATCAACTTTCATTTGAAGAAGAAAGACGTTCAATAGATTTTAATGGTCCAGTTTAGATTTAAGAGATCAAGGCTATTAAACGTACAAGAAAGTAAACTACGGTTTTAAATATGAAATGCCAGGTTTAACGACGAGAAAAGCTTAAAATAAATTGATAGTTGCAAATAATTTGCTTTTCTGTCAGAACGGTCCAAGCATAACAACTCCTATATCTGCACCAATTGTTGAAAAGTAGTTTTAATAGCAGTCGCCTAAGAGCGGATTTTATGACTAATAAAAAGTCAATTTAAGACCAAGGATATCGATTTTGCCACAGACGAACGAATGAATATTCACAAATAACAGGCGAATACAATAAAGCAGATTAAGAATTGTTATTTTTAAACAAACGAAAGCTATAAACACCATTTTATTTGGGAAACGAATCTGGGAAACCGGAGTAATATTTGTGAGTGCCATTGACAAAAATATGCATTGAAGTGAAAGTAGCTACTGTTTGTTAAGTCATAATGCCAAGTTTTGGTAGACGTTGAAACCCGATGGAGGCATAGAGACACCTGCTTCACGATAAAGCTTCTAAAACGACAGGATAGGAAATTGCTTCTTGCAAACATGTCAGCACATTAGTGGAATCGATGCCAAAATACACAACTTGTACATATATGCTTACTTTTGAATCTTGCTCAAAATTTCATCCAGTTCAATTCCTGAGGACGATATTTTCACAGGAAGGAGCTTTGTACGGCGGTTTTGCCTTCTAGTTGGAGTTGAGGGTGCAGAGGTAGTCGAAGAACACGTAGATGAGGCGCCACCATCAAAGAAGCCAGTAAAGTAGTTTGAAGCAGCAGAGGCAGCAGCACGAGTGAGAACGCCGTTGCAAGTGGGGCCGGACACATTGCCAATCATCACCCCACCGCTTTGATGAGAAACGCCTGGGGGTGGACGTGGGGGACGGAATTGCTCAAAATTATGCTGCAGACTGTTCTGAGAGTGATTGTCACTGCTTGATTCTCCAAAGCCCGCTTTTATTTAAATTAAGTAGATTACAATAACAGCCATTGAATAATAACCGATGACACTTATTCAGATTATCCCTAATTAGACTAATTGCAGTTCATAAGACTTTCCACCACAGTAATCAAGGAGAGAAGAAAAAAATCGGGAGAATTTGAGCAGGAAAAACAGGACGTGAAAAAATTATAAAAAATATAGATTCGTTTTGCAATATAACGCAGATTTTTGAGAAGGACGTCCATATATACCACTCATCTGTACAATTAGTGGAAAATAGTGATATGGCCACGCCTTCACCTACCAGTCTTTGAGAATAGGGCCACTGGGTGGATCTTAAATCGTTAAGAAGTTATTGCTGGTGATCACTCAGAACCATCTTAACAAAATCTACGATGCAATCTCATCAATATATCCTCAAAAAAGACTTGTATTCACTCTCTTTATAGTATTCTTATTGTAATATTTGAAAAGAAAATTAAGCAACAACTGAGTGTGCAGCATGAGTACAACTGGCATCGAAGTTGGTGTTGAGAAGATCTACTAGAAATAGATATTTCTTAGGATAGCAATTCATTGAGTTAAGTGGGCTACCTCGAACAATAGAAAATTCAAACAAGAAACTACGCCTATCAAAAACCATCTACTTAAATTAAATAAGTAGCAATATGCACCTACATCGAGAAAGTGAAGCGGAGATGAAAGAACTGGAATCAGAATGGCCCTGGGCATAATGAAGAGAAGAAGCTGACAACGGCGTTGAAAAGCTCGCCAAATTGTTCAGACCATCGATTTCTGCTTTGGCGAGACCGTTATTATTTTCTGAAATATTAAGGATAGATATAAGCAACTTAAAAGTAAGAGAAGTAGCAAAGCCCAATTAATCTTAGAGCACCTATGGGAACAAAGGGTGAATCAGATTGAAATCTGTACAAAAAGCAAAGAGTATACTGTGCTTTAAATGAATTCTATGAAAAGAAGCGTTGCCAAAGGAACTCCCTCAAAGACTAAAAGATAGCTAATAAGACTTGAGTGGACTCTAGTATCGAGTATGGTTTTAAACACAATTTGAGTAAAGATGCTAAGACCCTTGTTAAATCAGTCCCTCTATTGTCAATCCATTAAAATTTATCATGAAGTAGATAATAAAGTAAGAACTGTTAAGGATTCAGAGCAGAACAGCAATGTAACCTAAAGCTGTAGTCGAAAGTTGTAATTGAAAAATCCTACATCATTTTTGCAAAAAAAATAAAGACTGAAATTATTAAGAAACCTTTAGAGAGAAGAAAATGTATCGTTCAAAATGGAAATAAGACAGCAAATTAAGATTAAAAGTAGTGAAATCCAAGATTAATTTAAACGAACAGCTTAAATAGTCAATAAGTGAAGCCCCAATGATTTTAAAAAATGCGTATGAAAGGATATTATTGGGTGTTATTTGTTTTCGACAACAAACCGACTAAACTTGCTTCCTGGAACAGAAGCGATCAATCATTGTCTTTGATGAGAATCTATTAAGCTTCACGCTATGCAGGAAAATATTTATGAAGACAGCAAAAATCACAAAAACAGAGATTCTATAACCACATTGCTACAAGTGTGTTTGTGTGATTCTGTCCAGAAGTGGGTTTAAGAGAAAAGGGAAATTTCTGTAGGGAGAAATTTCGACTTATTGTTCATAGTTGGATAAATTAACAGCGGAAGAAAGGGGAAGGAGACAGAAACAGCCAATTGGAATTTTTGATACGCTGAGGCAAACCAGAAAATAATTCTTTTTAGATTGGGGAGAGAAAAATGATATTAACAATTTAAGCTGTGACTACCTGATTAACATGCTAGTCAAAGGTCAACAGATCGATGCTCATCGAGAAACATCCAGTGACATGGATGGATAAGAGTATAACAAGAATGGGGGTTTTAAATAAGGACGAATGAAAATAGCCAATACCTTACTAAATTGGTTGAAACGTGCGCTGTGAAAAGAGCAAGATAATCAGTGCAAATGATTTATTGAATTCATTAACGTGACAAGATATAAAATGGCCTATTAAATAGGCGCAACTTTCTAACGACTCTTAAAAACTACAGTACGTTAAACTATTTTTTTCTTTTAACGTTCATTTCAATTACTCCAAAAGAAAAAAAGGATAGATGTCTCGGAAATGAACCAAGAATTCTTCTAGGATAGATTTATAGGCAAAATCGCCTCAGACAGCAATGGCTTATTCGGTAGCCTCAATGTTAAGAAGCAATATTAAAGCGAAATAGACATCTAAATTGGCCTCCAGACGGATTCTCAGTGACGAACTCAGCAACAAGACAATTTAGTGGAATGTCACCACCACTTGTTAGCTACAGCATCCAACCGCATTCAGAGTCTTCACAAAGGTCGGCCAATATGCAAAATTGAAGTTTTAAAGTATTAAAAAAAAGCCTGCAAGAGTATTCGACAAATTTATTGCTTTCGCATTAACCATTAAGCGCCAATGATGGCAGGAAAGAGAGGAATGTGAAAGGTAATAAAAGCTCAATAAAATATTCCGATAGGGGCAGGAAACTCATTGCAAGACATGCCCCAGAAAAGTGCTATTCAATGTTAAGGGAGTGCAATGTGAACTCCATTTTTTAATTAATAGCGCCACAGACAATTCATTTCTTAAGATAGGCAACAATTTGGTCGAAGAGAATCATAGCCATTTAGTAACGTATTTAAATATTCCAATTTTCTATCAAAACAACTTGGAAGTCCAGCCCTCTCTTAAGATCAAATATCTCAGATTATGTCGAGCGTTTTAAACCAAGACAGAAAGAGGCCTAGTTTATGGTCAAAGTCGTACACATAATACTAAAAAGGATAGAATCAAAAGAGAATAGTGAAATATATTGAAACAAAGATTGCCCAATGTAGATCTTCGTGCAAAGCTGCCCGTGTGAGAAAAGGAAGATGGCAGAAGAGAGCATGTGAGTTGCAAGGAAGGAAAGACTATCCCAACCTCAGGCAAGATGAGTATCGATCCAGGTCAGAGTAAATCAAACTAGATAGAAGGTAGCACTTTATTTTGACAATGCGAAGTTCATAAGGGTTAGTGACTACGAAAGTGTAAGATTAAAAGAAGTTCAATAGACGAAGAAATTACACTAATGTGAAAGAGTTCACAAATAGTGTTAATCAAAGACTCAATCCAGATCCGGAAATGCTGCAAGTTTACCTTGAACTTCCCAAGGAAAGGGCTATAAAAGCCCCTTCCATTCTGTGCATTAACTTATTGCATTTTGCAGCATTATCACATAATATTTTCTTTCTTCACAGCGCTCCACACATATTAGTCCACCGGGATAAGATCTGGAGGGCAAAGGGGAGCTATGCGACCAATCGTACATTGGAAAAGGCTCGGATGAAAAAATTGCCCGAGAGCCATTTTGACTTATCTTGGAAGCGTGGCAGGGGGCCCAATACTGAGGTCGCCATCATGACCATTTATTTGCAACCATAATGCGTGATCCAGAGTTTGACTGACACAAAGGCCAGCAATTCACGCAGACATCTGAATTCAATCGGATTTCCACACAAAAACATTGTGGGAGGCATCACACCACATCACATCATCTTCAGTAGAGGAAGAAAAAACATCCAAAAAGCACACAGTTTGAGAAATTTAGTCCGGGGAGCTACTTTGAACCATTAGCTGGTCAAGATATCTGTTATTCTGTGTGTGGTTTTGATCTTGACAAAAACCTTGAATTGTCGAAAAGAACCAGACTGCCTGTGGTTCATCAGGATGTTCCACTTTCTTCAGTAGTTTCTTCGACTTTGTCAGATAATTTTCGAGAACATTTTCAGTGAGATATTGACCAAGAAGACCCTAACATGACAAACGGTAGAGAAAGTCTTCATTAAGCTCAGTCTCCATAATAAAGGCTGAAGAACCCAAGTAACTCTGGCATCAAAACCAAAATTTCGATGCCAGAGTGATGTAACACTTTCTTCTGCTTCAGGTTTTGTAGAAAATTTGATGTGTTAGACCAATTACATCACTTAAGCCGGAATTTTTTTTCAACGTGCCCCAAAAAAGAGCGAGCAGCGATCGCAGTCTTTTCATTTTAGCGTCTGAGGCGAATCCTCAGTGTTCAAGTTATTCTCCTCCATGATTCAAGATGGTTTCATTCCATCATTTTCCTTGTTATTACGTTTATGAATGAGAAAGAGATTTTAAGCCTCTAAAGGAAGCATATTGCATGTGAATACCCTTAAACACATAGGGGAAAATAGCCAAGCAATCCTCTGTCAAATATAAGCACTCATAAAAAGATCAGATAAATGTTCAAGAGCACAAAATGAGCGCTAATGCAAGGCACGATCGTATCAAATAGCCGGAAATTAGACGAATGAGCAATTTAATCAAATGAAAGGAAAACTAATGGCAATCGTGTATTGCTGGGAATTCATTTTCCTTTTGGTAAGCATTTTTAAGCAAAAAACCAATAGCTGATTATGACCGAAGTCTCGATTTCAATTGATTGGTGAGATAGGAACCTGAAAGTAAATTATGCAACGTTAAACCATGATGCAATAAACAATATCTGTTAAGTAGCAATCAGTACCATAAATTGAAAATAGCTATTTAGCCGCTTGAATAGATTTTTCTACTTCTACTCGACTTAACTCTCTCTATCGTCGAATACTAGGGCCATTTCTGCAACTACTTGTGTTAACCTTTTCGGTGAGTAAAAGCGTCACAATTAGATAAATCTCTCATGATTTAAGCAAGTTTTTAAAACAGTTGTTAAGGTCTTTTGTGCCCTATGCATATTTAGCCACAGTAGAATAAGATAAATTAATAGTGTCTAAGCGAAAGTGGGCATGAAGAATATCCATCGAAAGCCCATTTAGTTCCCCTATTTCAGTGACCGCAGCAGGAGTAAAAGTTTCTCCCGGTTTATGGCAAATCAATAAGACATCAACTTAATCAAACCACAAGGCAACTTCCGTAGTACGCACACAAATTGTTCATTACACCGTGATTATCCACTAGCAGAATGACAAAACCTTCCGCACAATGTTGACTTATAAAATATTAGTCGATAATAGAAATAGATGGAGTAGAAATATTTAACTAAGAGTTGGGAGCTCTGAAGGCTTTAAGTAAAAAATTAGCCGTAATATCTTCTGCTAATAATACCACTGATAAGCTAAATGTACTGCAAACAGAAAATAGGAATATTTCCACTTAGGCCACAACACCATTTTAATAATTATGAAGAACTTTAATACCTATGTAACTCATGAAATCTTAAGTTAAATCTGTATTTCAAGGGAAACTGAATGCTTAATAATATTGGTCCCTTGCTTGATCCACCTGCCGAAAACATTGAAAACAGTATAAAAATCTTTGTCAGCAAAGACAAAAGCGATGATGTAAAATGGTAACGAGTAAGATGTCCACTTTCCATAACTCCCAGACATATTTTAACAATTTCGCAGTTGAGCAGAAATGCCCAAGAATGGTTTCGTAAAAAGGAAATATTGATAAGAGTGTTCAACCGAACATAAGCTCCACCTAAACTTATTCCAAATATGGATTAAGGTAAAAGCCTCATTTAATATCAAAGTGAATCCGGATTTCACTATCAGAGTGCACATTTCATTTCAAGAAGAGAGGGAGAAAGTTTTAATTTATCATCTAATGGACAATACATATCAAAAGTTGATCATTTAAAAATACGTTAGGCCAGAAGAGGCAGAGATGATAATCAACTTTCCGGTGTGAAGAAATGCTTAATTTGATTTCAATCCGCTAATTGAAGTCTTTTATCTTTTTTAAGTAAAGTCAGGATTGAATGACAGAACAA